GATCTCCCTCATGAACATTGATGCAAAAATACTCAATAAAATACTGGCAAACAGACTCCAAGAACACATCAAAACAATTATCCTCTATGATCAAGTAGGCTTCATCCCAGGGATGCAAGGGTGGTTCAACATACGAAGGGTGACACACACCTTTAACCCCAGTATTTGGGAAGCACACACACCATTAATCCCAGGACTAAGAAGGTTGAGATAGAAAGTGAAATGGCTGGGCAGAGAAAGGCATATAAGGCGTGAGGAGACAGAAACTAGAGAGCCTTTCTGCTGATGACTCAGAGGCACTCAGTCAGAGGACTCCTGGAGTTGGTAAGGTGAGAAATGGCTGTGGCTTGTTCCTTTGTCACTCTGATCTCTCAGCATTTACCCCAACATCTGGCTCCAAGTTTTTATTATAAGACCATTTAGGATTCGTGCAACAAGCCATATTTTTGTATTCTCTATGTCTTGTGTTCTGATTTCTTGATTTGACAAATATTTGTAAAGTGCTAGTAGGAAGGGCAATACATAAATAATAGTCTTATGCTAATACCCTCATTAACATAGATGCAAAATACTTAGCAACATATTAGCGACTCAGATTCAGCAAATTATAAGACAATAATATGCCATGGCCATGTGTATGAACTTGCCTTGCTTTAAAAGCAACAGAAGTATGTCAGTCAAGGTCATTTGTCTTCTAATTTGTCATCTACATTATAAGAAAAGGAGAAAGTCATGTGGCAATCCTAATAGATATAGGAACACATTTTGGCTGAATTCCATGCCCATGGAACAGGGGGGGAGTGGGAGAGCAATGAGGGAGACATCTTGATAGAGGGAGACATGATAGGGACAGGGAGAAATCTAGTGCAAGGAAAGTCCCCAGGAATCCACAGGGATGACCCCAGCTTAGGCTACTACTAGTAGTAGAGGGGGGGGGGTGCCTAAGCTGGCTACCCCGATGATCAGATTGGTAGATGCCCTAACTGTTATCATAGAGTCTATATCCACTAACTGATGGAAACAGATGCAGAGAGCCATGGCCAAGTACCACACTGAGCTCCAGAAGTTGAAGAGAGGAAAGAAGGATTCTATGAGCAAGGGCATCCAGACCATGATAGGGAAACTTATAGATACAGCCAAACCAAGCTAGTGGGAACTCACGAACTTTGGGCCAACAGCTGGGGAGCCTGGATGGGACTGGACTGGGCCCTCTGCATGGGTGAGACAGTTGTGTAACTTGATCTGTTTGAGGGGCCTCTGACAGTGGGAATAGGATCTATCCCTGGTGCATGAACTGGCTTTTTGGAGCCCATTACCTATGGTGAACAGCTTGCACAGCCTTGACGAAGGGGGAGGGGCTTGGACCTGCCTTACCTGAAAGTGATTGGCTTTGCTGACTCCCCACAGGAGGATTTACCTTTTTGGAGGAGGAAGGGCTCTGGGGTGGGCTGGGGGGAAACCTCAGGAGGGGAGTGGGAGGAGAGGTGAGGGGGGAATCTGTGGTTGGTATGTGGAATGAATAAAAAATTCTTAATTAAAAAAAGTGAAAAATTACTAGCTAACTGGAAAAAAGAAAAATTCTCTCAGACATATAAAGGCATCTCTGACATCTCTGAGAATCCTATTGCAGAAAGAAAGATTAAACATTTTCCTCGTGTTTCCTCATTTGAGTTTCCTCAAATCAATTTATCTGAAGACTCATTTATAAATCAGAGATAGAAACCTCCCATAAACCTAGGGAACATTTTGATACATAATTAAGGCTTCAGGTAACTTCACTGTCTTAGCTGCTGTGACGGTAAATGTGTCACTTTAACTAGACCACAGGATTCTTAGAGAGCTAGCTAAATATTATTTCTGTTTTTGTGTATGAGAGTGTTTCTGAAAGAGCAGCATTTGAGTTGATGAGCTAAGTAAAGCAAGCAAGCCTCCTCAGTGTGAGTGGGTAGGAATAAAATAATATATACATAAAATCCTGTTCTATTTCTAGGGTATAGATCTTCCTGTTATCTATATATGTCTAGGATGGATATAGATTCATCTACTAATTTATCTTTCATGGGTTCTAGTTCTCTGAATAATACTAATGTGGCAAGCTCCAAGATGCTCTATTGGTCTACTCCATCTCTGACACCATTTTGATAGAATCTAGAGAACAGAAAATATGAGAAAATATGTCATGGTAAGTATAGAGAAACAGATACTAAAGTATAGGTACTGCTCTCTTTGTGTGGTTTCTGGAGGTTCAGTGGTTTGGTGTGTATGGGGATGTTATGGTTTGGATATAAAATAGCTCCCAAGTCACCCTTATTTGATCATATAAGTACAGGAGGAAGTGTCATTTTAAGTCCTCCATGGTAGAGCTTAGGACACAAGGCAGGTGTTCTTCCCTATCAGATACATTGGGAAGAAAAATCATTCTTTACACAGTTTTAAAACATATTTATCCCCCACTGAGACTTGTGGAATGACTGAGCACTGCATGTGTAATTTCCCACCACTCTGGACTCTTGGAGAGTCTCATAGCTAATTATCTTCCATAAGTACTCCTCTATGATTTGGTGTCTTCTCTGTAGAATTCTCAGGGGAATGTTAGCTCTTGCAATGACAAATAGGTATGAATGTAGAGGATTCTACAGCCCTTCATGTATTTCTATATGAAAATATAAGTGAGCTTAGCTTCTTTGATGTCATCAACAATATGTGGACATCACTATCTTGCTCCCTGGTTTCTGTCTCTTTAACCTCTGCTGCCTTCCCAGATAAATTTTTCACTCCTTCTCACACAATATTTTCCTATTATTCCTAAAGCATATTGCCATTCTGAATTTTGTTCTTCTAATTTCCAACACATTATAAGCGTCCTTTGAGCAAAGATGAGAATAAATCATTTTCCATGTAATACAAAGTTTAGAAAGCCAGGATCCCAACAACAACAACAACAACAACACACACACACACACACACACACACACACACACACACACACACACCCCACACACACCCTAGTGATCCCATTCAGTGATGTTCTTATGTATGTAAGATTAGGGATGACCATTTGGGATTTTATAACTTATCAAGGGAGTCATTTCTGAGGAAGACAGATTCTCACTCTCTTAGCAGCCATTTATTGCCTGTAGCTGTTCACCTAGGGGTAGGGCTTTCTGAAATCCCCCTCATCCATGTTGGCATGTTATTATCACTGTCATTAAGCAGGTTTTGTTTAGGCAGTCATATTGTTGCTATTTCGTGAGTGGAGCCTCCCTGCCATATGCAGACAACACTGTCTAGTCCTATCTAATATACTTCATTTTTCATTCATTTTTATAGCTGCTGAGATAGATACGACAGATATATTATCCCACTTAAACTTATACCTAGTTTATAAATTACTGTAGTTATTTTCAATGGGAAATATGGGTACCTCAAGATGCTAGAGAAATTTACTATTGCTGGCATAAGTGAGAAAGCCATAAAAATATAAATACAAATCTCTTTGACCCCTGAATCCCATGCTTCTAATTACTGTCCTCTATTATTCATCAGAAGAAGTGAAATTTAGACGATACGTGATTGTTTATCTACCTTCTTCCCCATGGCGGGAGGTAATTCTAAATAGCAGAAACTTCTATGAAAGACAGTTAAAGTAAGGCCATTCCTTAATGAAGACTGAGAATCTCAACATCAAGTCTTCTCACCTACAAAACCTAAAAATGAGTGTGTCCTAAGTTGAGACTTTTCATCAGATATGCAATCCTAGGATTCCCCCAGTTCACTAATCCACACAAGCCAACTTGCTGTTGAGCTGGCAGTGCAAATGAAGAACCATCAGAACAAGCATGATTCTGGTGTGTGAAGAAAGCTCAGAAAGTAGACTTCTCAGGATCTGAGGCTTGAATGTCAGGGCCTCTTTAGTCTCTACTCAATCAACAACAATCTTATCCCATTTCCATCATTTCCATAGTGATAAAATTCTTCCAGAAAAAATTACGGAACTATCATTGGTCCACTGAAAACCCATATTATATGCAATTTAGTTAATGTTGCAGTCTTTTTGTATATCTTTTGCTGGTTGCTAAGTATCCTCCACCAAGACCATTACACCAAGCCTTCAGTTTCCTCAAATTTCTCCATACAGAACAAAGTGAGAAGGAATCCATGAGATATCACTTCATTTATCTTCTTCAAAATTATCTGTCCTAATACCCATATCATTAGAGAAATTAGCTAGAAACTTCAGAATATTTACTTTAGAAAATAAAAAGAGAGATGGGGTATACAATAGACAATTAAAATGATGTAAGTGACTTTGGTTTATATAGCTAAAGATTCATGTAACTGTTCAACCATCTGGCTCACACATGGAAGAAAGCAAACTAACTGAGTTGGCTGAGAACATAAGAAGGACCATCTGGCCCTTAACAAACATTGCCTGAGTGCCTACTCTGTGCCAGGAACTGAAACCAAGGGTGAAGATAATAGCTTGGTGGAACTCAGCACAAGGGAGTGTTTTTTTTTCTCTCTCTCTCCAGTTGTTTGAATTCTGAGACAATGGACTAAGCTAGGCTATCACAAAAGCTTATAAATACTCCATTTGTTAACCAAATACTTAATAACCACATTAGATATTGCAAAAATGTTTTATTTTTTCCTACTGTGGAAGAGGTAAAAATAACTTAAACTCATATTTCTCTGGAATGACAATCAATCTTTTGCCCATATTTACTTTCCACTCAACACTCATTCCACACTCCTCTGAAAGCCTGCTGTTCCAATTCACCTTTTTGCTAAGGATGTCCAGAATTCTCAAGATCTGAGGACACTGCCGACCAGTCATTCTCCACAGTACCCGAGACATTTCCATTTGGAGGCCCTGCCTTCTGCCGAAGAACAAAGCATTTAGTAAAACATACCCTGAATGCAAAATACACACTCTTCCTTACTAAAGTCTACATCTATAGCCCTCTTTTATTCTTTCAGTAATTTTGACACAAATTCATGAAGTTACCATCAATGTAATTCTGTCTCTCAGAAATGAGATAAGACCAGTTCTGGAATCACGCCGGCTCAACATTTCTATGATTCTCTCATACATTTTTAAATCTGTATCCTACCCACACACCTGATTTGTGCCTCTATGTCTCCGAGGACCAAAGCAAGGAGTAGGTACGGTATTCCCAATCTAGCTGCCTTGTTCATCTTGCCAAGTTAGCACATATGTTACTTTTCAAGTTTTCCTAGATGCCAGTTCTATTCTCTAAGAATATATAAATGAATTTGGATCATATTCACCTTCAGCTACTGCTAACAAAACACATCATTCCTCTCTGTGTCAGCACAAAATATTCAGTAGATAGCTCTAAAAAGAAAAACTGCAAGTCCATCGCTAAAATTTGTAGGTCATTTATAACTCAGAAACCCTCTGGACAGAGATATCGTAGTCCATTGTTGTTTATACACCCTGTGAGGGAAAGTTGTCCCATTTTCTACAGCAATCATGCACTTGGAGGATTCCTCTGGAAGTTCTGTTTCCTCCATGGCTTTGTGCTGTTATGTTATAATTGTCCCATTTGGGACTGAGTACATGACAGGTGGTGTATAACAATACACTTCCCTACAATGGTAAATGGAGCTACATAATTCACTAAGCTGTAAGCTCTCAAAAGTGTGAGACATAGGATCCAAATAAGTATTTTGATGCTTAGACACTAGCAAAGAGTATTGCATTTGGTAATTTGTCAATTAAGACTACCTTAATTGATCACCTCTGTGAATGCACTGCTAAGGGAATGACATGAACAGCCACAGAGTAAGTGAAAATAGTGGTGATGACTTAACCTCATTGAGTAATTATACCCACTATCTACAAAGAACTCTTACAACCTACTAGTAAGAATGAAATACAAAACCTTAATGGGCAAAATAGTTAAACATTTTACCAAAAAAAAGATATATTGATAACGGTAAGCAATAAACATATTTTAATAAAAAGTAAGGTATTATGATATCCACTACACATCTCTCAGAATGTAGAGCTTGCCTCACCTTGTCATGTGTTATCGAGAGCATCAATGAATATGCATGTGTGTAATCTTCCTAATAGCAATAGGCCTAAAGAAGAAATGATACAAATACAACATGAACTGTAAAAAATAAACCAATGTTTTTATATATTTATATATGTATATTCACATATGCTTATAGATATATATTCACATACACACATATATACATATACATGTATATATATAAACACTCAGGAGTACAAAGGAATGAATTAGTTATATATCTAACAATACAATTTAGTCTTAAAATAAATTGATTTTAAAAAGCCAGGAATAAAAAGTATATAGTATATACTTATATTTACATAAATGTCTACAAATATCAACTAATCTATAGTGTGGGGGTGGTGTGGAGAGGAGAGAAGGAGAGTGCACAGGTGAATGCTTGCCCAAGACCAAAAAGTAGAATAAGAGGATGAAAAGAATCTCTAAAGGTGTTTGACTTTTGACTTTTGCACATGATGGTAGGTTTAATATCCTAATTGCTGTGAGTAGTGTGTGGGTCTTTATATGTCAGATCTTAATCTGTTTTACAACATGCACTTATTTGTTGATTAAAATTAAATAAAGTTTTTTTTCCTTTGAGGAAAGAATGAGGAGAGAGAGAGAGAGAGAGAGAGAGAGAGAGAGAGAGAGAGAGAGAGAGAGAGAGAGAGAATGACTGAGAATGATTTACATCTAAAAATTGGTATCTGGCTAAAAGTTTCTACAGAAATAATGACTCCATTATTCCTTAATTGAACGTGCACTTATTTGGGATCTTTTATCTTCTAAATACTATTATACAAACAGGGAAGGTGGCATTACCAACTCAGGCATTAAATCTCAGGGTCTAGAGAGACAGCTCAGAGGTAAGAACACTTGCTCTTCTTCCAGAGGACCCTACTTTGGTTCCTAAAATCCACATCAGGTGGCTCACAACCACCTGTAACTCCAGCTGCAGTAGGTTTGATACCCTCTTATGGCCTCTGGGCATTTGCACTTCAGAGAGAGAGAGAGAGAGAGAGAGAGAGAGAGACTTAAATTTATGTTTTAAAAATGAAAATAAATCTTTGAATTCTATGGTCACTGGGGAAGAGAAGCTCCACAGAGTCAGAAGGACTATCTGTCATTGTCAGGAGAAGTAAAGCAGGGGAGGGAGACAGAGAATATGGGTCAGGGTTATTATTTTGATCCAGACGGTCAAAGGAGGTTCACAGGTGATATAGCAGAAACCCCCTTCATCACACTAATGGTTTTATGCACACATATTTATAATTTCATTTTTAAAAGATTTTTGGATCATAGAAATAATGTTCTGGCTGCTAATGTTAATTCTTTGACCTTTTATATGATTACCATCTCCTGTCTTGAGGGAAAAAATGGGGCTTGTTAGTGACAGGGTTGAGCTATGGTGAGTTAAAAAATGCATATATAAATTAAAGGCCTGTGAGATTTCTAAAAGCCAAACACCAATTAGAAAAACCAGTTTCAAATTAGAATCATCTCCCATAATTACTACTTTGAAGGGAACTATCTTGCCTCCATAATAGAGCATGTAGCTCCCTTTCATTTTGGAGCTGAATATAAGTGTTCTGTTTATTTAACTTTCCCTGTCTGTGCTGATTTTTACATGTTGATATCAGTGCAATCAAAACAAACAGGAAGACTGTCTCTAGACTATCACATAAGCCTATCTCTGCTGTTACCAATCCATTCACCAACCCAGCACATTTAAAATACATGTTGTGGGCTGAGTACTAATTGTATGCAGAATTAAGGCTGTCAGTGAACCAAACCTTAATCCTGAACACCTCCTTATTGTCTGCTAGAGGTAGACAAATATGTAAACAAATTTTAGGAAAACAAAAAGTTGCAAGAGGCATTAACTTCAAAGTAAAGATGAAGAAGGGAAGCAGATTGCCAGGTCTTCTCTTATAGGATGCATGCCTTCTTTTGCAACTCTTCCCTTCTTCCTGGAAGGATCTTTAAGTCTTTAGGGTTAATTGCACTCAGCCAAACCCTTGTTATAGCCCGTGTTTTAATGCTTTGGAAATATATGATAGAGTATCTCAGATACAAAAAAAGTTTAAATAATTTTTAAATATCTCACAGAGATGAAACAAATGTCATACACCTGACTCTCACCTCTCTCCCAGCTACACCCACCCGAGAAGGAACTACCATACAGAATCTGACATCTGTCCATTTCAGACCCCTCTTTCTATTTTTACTACATACACATACACAAATATTATGTTTGTTTACACTGTTGCTTGTGTGTTTTAAAACTCTCTGTAAGTGGCATCATATTTGAGAGCCCTGAAACACCAGATTTCCTAGCAAATATGTAGGGTTCTTCTTGGTTCTTAATGTATAAAGCAAGTGAGGTTTTTCTCTTCCTTTCTACATGTGCACATTCCATAATTAATTCTGTTTTGGTTGATAGATTTTTAATGAGGCTGGTTCAGCAATGTTGCTATAAACATTATTACATAAAGTGCCAAGAACACATGAGAGGGAATTCCTCAGGAGTATATTGGGAAGTGGAATTTCTGGATCATCAAATATGCAAAATTGACATTTTACAAATATTGCCAAATGACTGTAGGAATGTAAATTATCACCAACGGTATATAAATTCCTATATTTTCTAATTCTTGACATAGTCATATGTAATGTTTTCATAAGAAAGACTACAAAATAGTACTACAATAAGGTTTGAATTTACATTTGCTTATTACCACTGGCATCAGGCATCTTTTCACAGTCAGTGGTCATCTAGATTCCCACTTCTATGAGATACTTTTGGTCATTTTCTCAGTATCTTCTATCAGAATAACTTACTTTATCATCTTCAATTTTAGTTATTAAACATGTTCTGAGTGTGTATTATTATTTAATTCATGTGTATGTATTTGTGTGTGAGTACACACACATGCATGCAGGTACTTGAACAGGTCAAAGATGTCAGATTCCCTGAAACGGGAGTTACATGTGATCTTGAGCTGCCTGACATAGGTACCGGCAATACAACTCTGGTCTTCTAGAAGAGCAGCAAAGTTCCTAGCTCCTGAGCCACGTCTTTAAGAAAGTTTTGCTAGAACATACTTGAACTTTTAAAACCATGAATACATAAGGACAATTTTCCTTGCCACCTTTATCCTCAACTACTGTGGATATCGCTCTGTATAAATAAAATGCTGATTGGCCAGTAGCCAGACAGGAAGTATAGGTGGGACAAGCAGAGAAGAGAATTCTGGGAACAGGAAGGCTGAGTGAGGAGATGCTGCCAGCCACCACCATGAGTACCAACATGTAAGATACTGGTAAGCCACAAGCCATGTGGTAAGGTATAGATTTATAGAAATGGGTTAATTTAAGATATAAGAACTAGATAGCTAGAAGCCTGAGCCATTAGGCCACACAGTTTAAATAATATAAGAGTCTATGTATTTATTTTATAAGCGGGCGGCAGGACTGCTGGGGTTTGGCGGGAGCTGGAGAGAAACTCTCCACCTACACTCAACTGTGCAACCTTTCTCTTTATAAGAAATCCCCCCTCAAGTTTGGAAGCCGAAAGATATATAATGAAGGGTTGTCTTCTTCTTCTTCTTCTTCTTCTTCTTCTTCTTCTTCTTCTTCTTCTTCTTCTTCTTCTTCTTCTTCTTCTTCTTTCTTCTTCTTCTCCTCCTCCTCTTTCTCCTCCTCCTCCTCCTCTGCCTTTCTTAATGCTGACTATGCACAGGAGACAACATTAAAATCTACAATCTTAAGACAAGTTGTAAAGTACTAAAGAGATGAAGACCAATCCAGAGGTTCTGAGTGGAGACACAATGGTAAGTAATACTTGAAGATCAGAAATAAAATTGAAACCAGGAAGTGTACCCCAGGAGGGTTCAAGCTAGCATGGTATCTGTCCTGGAAGCGATTGCCTTGGGATGCGAATTCCTCAGGAGTATATTTGCTAATAGAATTATTAGGGAGCAAATGTATAAAATTTCCATTTTATAAATGAATGTTACATTACAGACCAACAAATGTATGGTAATGGACACAGGCACTGTTCAAAGAGAAGGGAGTCACCCCTTGTTCAGCAAGCACTCTCCATGAGGCCTGGTCAGCCATGAGTGATGCTGGCTAGAGCTCTAAGGGCTCTCTGACAGTCAACATGCTGTGTTTATTAAGCATCATTTGCCTATGTGTTTATTATTATTATTATTGTTGCTGCTGCTACATAGGAAATATCTTTATTGCTCACTGGCTTTCTAATACTCCCAGTAGGCTGTCAAACTGCCCCGGTCATGAGAACCTGAGGTTCATTCAGAGTGGGACGAATCATAGCCCTCCATGCTGCCATTCAGTTTCATCCTCTAGGGGCTGAAACGTCTCTTTCTAGTAATAACTCTCCGAGTTTACCATAGAAATTATAAAACACCAAAGCACCAGTTTTGTTATTTATAAATTTCTTTTGTGTAGGAAGGAGGAAAAAGCTAGTTCTGGAAACCCAACCTTTCCTATTTGGGTCAAAATGAACGTCCCTGGGGGATTCGTTTCGAGTTCTCTAAAATATTCCCAGCTCTTCTTATGGTTGGCGTTCAGAAGCCATGAGGCTGTGAGCTGCCCTGATCTCTCAGTGCCGGAAGATGTTGCCCTGAAGATGCTTCTCGGATGAACGACTCACTGTCTTTTATACAGATATTAGTCATTTATTTTAAAAGGTGATGTGTTCCTCCTAAAACGCTTTGTGCTTTCAGCAGAATGAGCCAATGCCAATTTTTTTTTTTTAATCCCAGTCAAGGGTTTTACTTACCCTTAAAGCTCTCATGGCCACTAATCCACAGAAGCTGGTTTCTCCTTTGAAGTTTCCACTCCAGACATCCAGGGTTGTAGCCAAGTTTGGCTTCAAGAGACCTTCAGAAGTTGCTCTCTGCCCAGGTTGTGTCCTCTTCGTGTGGTGGTTGAGGTTGAGGCTCGGGTTTCATGGGGAGGACCAAGTTGTTCATATCCAAGGCAGAAGGAGTCAATGCTTCCTGAGGAAGGAGAGGCTGTCAAGAAAGAGGAACTGAGGGATGGTTGTAGGGAAATGAGCCCATGAGCTGCAAGTCTCATTTAGCTTACTTTAGACATATATTTCTATCAGATCTAGAACTAACTTTCCAAGTGATAATTGATGTACAGTGGTTACTCTGCATAGATCACACAATTTTCTAATGTAACTATTAGTGAATGTGAGATGATGAAATAATCTCTACAAATGGTCTAATAAAGAAGTGCCACGCCAAACTGACTATGAACAGCAGAGTAAAAGAAGCTACGAAAGTGGCTGAACACATTACCCGAAGTTCCCATTACTATATTCAGCCCTCTTGCCTCATGATGTAGCACTAATATTTCTCTTAAATAGGGTCATGGATCATTAATCTCCTGGCCTTGAAATCTCTTATTATTAAAAGTGTAACTTAGCAACTTTTAGACATTGAAGTTACTCCAAATAAGAAAAGCCACAAGCCTGTTGGTCTGTTCACTCTTATTGTAAAAAAAAAAAAAAAAAAAAAAGGAACAAAAAACGATTGATGTTCTGTCCTGGAATAAGTTTCATTTGCTTTCTTAGAATTATATTATCTTCACTGGGTTAGAACACAAAAAAAGAGCACAGTATGAGTTTCTTTGGCTCCCACAGATCAGAGAACAAAATCACAAACATTTGGTGTTCAACACTATGTCGGCCTCATAATTCTTCATGTATAAAAATGACTGCCCTCTCCAAATGTTGGATTCTGTGTTTGAAACAAAATGTCCTATGTAATTTAACGTAAGTATATATATTTTTTTGTTTGCTTGTTGTTGTGGTTTTTTCTTTTTTTTTTTCAGGTGTGATTCATGGCCTGTCACTTTTTGCTAACAGCAGTCAGGTCTGTCTTGGTTACTCCATGCTGTTTCGGAAAGGCACAAGAGCTGTCCAGATGGAAGCACAAAGTCCCTCGTGTTCCTGGGACAGGATAACATGCTGTTCCCCTAAGGCACTCACTATCCAGGGCTGACTTAAAATTACACTTACATCCAGGGCTGACTTAATGGGCATGAGGCCATGAGATGGCACAGTTTTCATGATGATATTGGTTTTAATGCTGCACTTGGGTTCTTTTAAAATTCCTACATTTTTAGTCTTTCTCTGCAATTTCAAGTTATTGAAGGCTCCACAATTATGTAGCAGATCCTACATACAAGTCTTTGGTCTCTTCTGGAAAAAGGCCATTTGAGAGTTAAGTAGTTAAGAGTGTGCACTGCCCTTGCAGAAGACTTGAGTTCTGCTCCCAGCACCTACATGGAGTGGCTCACAGCCACCTGTAACTCAGGTGCTTCAGGATCCAACGCCCACTTCTAGCTACCAAGGGTGCCTGCATCCATAAGCACATACACACAGACATAAGCATGCACATAATTAGAAAAAAATTAATGTTTATTTTTAAAAAAAATTTAAATTATGTGTATGCTTATGTCTGTGTGAGACCCACCTAGGCCCTCTGTATGTGTGTGACAGTTGTGTAGCTTGGTCTGTTTGTGGGGCTCCTAGCAATGAGATCAGGACCTGTCCCTGGCACTTGAGCTGGCTTTTGGGAACTCAGTCCTCAAGCTGGGTTGCCTCCCCAACCTTGATGCAGGGGGAGGAGCTTGGTCCTGCCTCAACTTGATGGGCCATGCTTTGTTGATTCCCATGGGAGGCCTGCCCCTTTCTGAATGGAGATGGAGAAGGAGTGGATTGGGCAGGGCATAGGAGAGAGGTGGGGAAAAGGAACAAGAGTGGTCGGTATGTAAAATAAATGGGAAAAAAAGAAGAGAAACAAAGAAGTAAATGATAGATAAATCTAAAAATTTTTTTTTTAATCTTGAAAGTTAAGAGGAAGGGGAGGAAGAAAGAGAGGAAGAGAGGCATGGAGGGTGGGAGGAAGGAATGGAAGGAGGAAGCAAGAGAGGGAGGGAGGAGCTATTTGAGGGTAGATCCTAAACTTCCAGCTCCAGTTCAGTGCATAGACTAATAACATTGGAATCGGTTTAAGCATACAATAAATGACTTGTTTTAAAGTAATAAACTCCTGTATAATGTTAACTATACAGATGAATTCTATAATTCATTTTAAAACAATTATGCATTTTAACTATATATAACTCTAATTTATTTCTATGAGTGTGGTGGTGAGGATTGAACTCAAAACCTTATAAGTTAGTCAAGGGCCGCACCACTGAGATACATCCCCAGTCTGTGAATCTGTTCTTGTTAATGTACAACTATGTTCAAATGTAGAAGTAGTCCAGAAATATTAAAGGCCAGATGTTCTTTCAGGAAAGCAGATGATATAACACTTTTTTGCTCTTTTGTACATAAAATAACACATTGTTTTGCATTTTAGCTGCATATAATTGTACATTATGCTTAGGGTGACAGATCCCATGTACGATGACTAAATCAGAATAATTGCCACTCATGATCTCAAAACAGTTGCTATTTCCATTTCTTTATGTTTAGGAATCTTCTTGCCCCTGCCTTGTAGTTCTTTTGCTGTGGTCATCCTACTGTGCTATAGAAGACTAGAGTTTAATGTGTTCCCATCACCTCTTCTGACTTCTCACACCCACCTTTCTTCTCTCCATTAGTTGCCACACATGAGTAAACATAACACGTGTATTTGTCCTTTGGTGTCTGCCATATTTCACTTAACACAATGACTGCTAGATCCATCTGTGTCATCTGTCACAGATGACTGGAGTTCATTCCTTTTTATGGTTGAGTAGTATTCCACTGTGAAAAGGTAGCATGTTTTTCTTTACCCATTCTTTAGTTAATGGATAATTAAGATGTGCACGTCTTGGTTGGCATGAATAATACTGCAATAACATGAAAGTACTAATATAAAAATAGTATCAAAATGTCAGTTTTTATAATCTGACTTTATTAAAGATATTAGCTTAAATTTTATCTATATTAGAGATTATATTTAGACCATGAAAGAGCTTCTGTTATATTTGAAATTTCTAAGAGGAATTTATAAACACCTTAGAGGTTTTGGTGTTAAACATGGCACATATTTCTTTGTACCATTATCACAAAAGATATTATTTAGGGATCAACATTGTAGAGAAAGACTATCCATTCAGTCTAGAGTTTCACATGCAACCATCTTTAAGTAGAGGAAGGTCATATGTCCTCCCCTTAGGGAGGGCATTAGAATGATATTTTTTAATGAAGACTTGTCGCATCAGAAATGGTAATATAATCTTTCTGCATGTTATCAAAGTATAGTCTCCATACCTGTAATTTTATTACTTTTTACTCCAGGTTCCCCATGTGCCTCCCCAGCCCTGTTGGGTAAATTACTGTCATGCTTCCCAAGAGCCTGAGCAGCATATTCTATTTTGCGTCTCCTCCCAATGCACAAGACCTGGAGCATCATCCAACACCATGAATTTAGAAAATAATAAAGAATGTATGAAATCCAGTCATTTCTCTTAATGTATGTCACATGGCTTGGCATTGGATATTATTTCATGTTTTATCAATGCTTTGAGGTGATTAAATTAAATAGAACCACATTTTCATGTCAAAATATTGAAAAAGATAATAAAAACATTCCCTTCTATTTAGTTTTGAAATTCATAAGAAATGAGAGAGAATGTATGAATCATAGGAAGAAGACCAGACCCATGACTTACAGGTCTATGCATGGAGTAGTGTGGAAAAGACACCAGTGAGAAATCCTGGTACTTTGGAAAACTCAGAGTGTATCCAAGATCAATTGAAGCAGCTTTGAACTTGGACCACTTCAATTTCACTTGGAAGAACATGGATGATTTCTCAGGACTTACACAGCACAGGTTTGAGACATAGAGCTGACAGAAAGCCTCTCTCATCTGCTTTTGCCTGGGTCCCATTTTCCTATAACTATTGAGGGAGTTCATACCAGATTCTGGAATGGCCCTTAAATTGTACCCAGTCTTCAACTATACTCATTTTTATGTACTTTTATATTAAACCATCCCAGACTTTCACAGAATCATAGGGTGAGTTTGTGGTAATGTATCCCTAAATCATTCTGAGATATGTTTGGATTGGCTTTGAGCAGCAGTTTTATTTGTCTCTGAATGCAAATCAAAGAACTAATCATCCCTGGAAAGGTTCAAACTCAAAGACCTCCTCACATCCCAAGAACACATTCAGACAGTATGATATTATGTAATTTAGTGTATTTTGATAAAATATTGTTTGTATAAATTATCAACAAAATGCTCTAAGACAAAACACTTAGCACAAAACTCAATCAGCATTATGGAGCAAAAGAAAATTCATCTGACCTAAGGAAATATATTTAATAATGGATGCCAATTTTTAGATGGTGGTCTTTTGAATGTTCTAAACATCCATAATTAGGGTGTAGCAAATTTAATGACAAAGAACTGCACACAAGCTCCTAATTATAGTGGTGCACCACTGATACTAAGGAACTAACGAAAGGGTAACAAACATACCATCCATTTTGTCTGTTGCTCTTCCCCAAAGCACACAAAAGTTCAAACCTATAAGATGAAACGCATTCAGCTACCCTGTTTTCAAAGATCAGCAGCCTGTGTTTTTGAAATGCACTAATTTAAATTTAAAGACACATATTTAATGTTTCCCCTTTGTAGGTTTTCAACAACATAGACACAGAGAGTCACCATCTGTTTTGAGCCTGGGTCATTACCAATGCATCCTCCTGCTCTGTATTATCAGATCAAGAGGGTGGACATAAATTCGGCCACCTGGGCGCTGGCGTTATTAACGTGCACTCCAGCCACATGCTCATAAAGTGGTTTTGCTTGGAGCTGAAGCCTGGTGCTTCCTTTTTCCATTTGACCAATGCTCACAATTGCTTGGTACGATTCTAATAACGTAACTGCAGAACCAACTAACGAACACAGAGAACTTCTGGACGTTTTTGCCAACAAATCCAAGAGAAAATCATTTATGTTACCAGAGACAGGCATAGATGGGCAGCACTGAAGGAAACAAGGAACAGAGAAGAGCAAGGTTGAAGATATATACAAGATCCAGGGCTTGCCTATGGGTGTATAGATGATGGACCTTGATGCTACCACACATCACTGTGTGTGGCTCGTGAATGAAGATGGGCAATTGTAATATTACTCCACATGGTAATAAAACCTACAGCAATCCCTCTCAAGTCACTTAGCTCATCACAAAATTAAGGTGTCACTTAAAACAGATGTTTTACTTTGGTTAAACTTTGACCATCTGTCAGTCTGTATACCACATAGATTTGAGAATTCATCTGAAAAATTACAAAGGCAGTTTACACAGATGTCCCTGGATCCTTTTCTTGCCCTTTTTAATATTGGGCAAAATTATAGCAGGGCAATTATAATTGCATAAAAGACTAGGAAGCAATTCACAATCTCATGTTTTAAGAAATGTAGCCTGGTGGCGGCGGCGGCGGCAGCGGCGGTGGCGCATGCCTTTAGTCCCAGCACCTGAGAGGCAGAGGCAGGCAGATCTCTGTGCAACCTGGTCTCTGTGTAGCCTGGTCTACAAAGTAAGTTCCAGGATAACTAGGACTATCCATGCCTTAACACACACACACACACACACACACACACACACACACACACACACACACACACACACACACCATCTTAAAAAGCTTTTTTCTCAAGATTCTAGGCTGTAAGAAAATACTGGACCATTAACAAACAACTAATCAAAATTTGTAGGATGACTGCTACAACCCAAATGTATGGGGTTTCATTTCAAGGGACCAGAGTATAGTTGTTGAAAAAATAACTGCTTAATTGAAGAAAAGCTGAAACATTTTATTTAAAAATAATGTTTCAACTTATATTTGCTATAGCAATTTAGAGAAAGGTATCAATAAGTCAGGGCTGTAGACTCCCCTAAGAGTCATGGCTTTCTGGATTCCTGTGAAAGTCCATAGGTTAATTTGTTAGATTGTCATGAAGGAAGACCCATGACTGGAAGGATTAAAGAACAAGGATATATTTCTTACCATTCTGAAGTCCATGGTGAAGATGTTGACTCAAGATAAGGAGCAATGAAGGACCCTTGAGGCTCAAGACAACAAATACTAATATTTTACTTGTGTAGCTTGGGCAACTATTTGAGTCAACTATTTTCCATACATTAACTGAAAGACAGACTTCCTTTACCCCATGGACCTGTCTTTGTGCCCAAGGCACAAACATCATGCAGAAGGTGAACTTGCTATTAAATACTAGTTCTCAAGTAGATGCACATTATTCCCCTGAAACCCCATGGGTTAAAGTCAGGCAAAAGGACCATCTACCTGCAATAGGACTGGGAAATGGAATGATAGTCATGGCTCAGAGAAGAGGGAACCAGTTCTCCAAGGTTTTACCACAGTTGCTATCCAGATTATCACAAACAAGAGAGAATATATCCAAGACAGGCAAGTGTGATGAGGAAACTATAACACATTTATTTAATTTAAAATTGAATTGCAAGTAATTAAAGCTTTCATTTGTTCTATTTTACACAGAAAACCATGGAAAAAAGAAATACTTTTACCATGATCTTGCTTTTAGTTAAATACTATGATTGTGTACATGTGCATTGCCTAATTCTGTTCAGACATGTATGCGCTCACATCAGAGAGCTGCTACCAAAGTAACTCAATAATTACAAGTTTGAAAAATCCTCATTGCTGAAAATTACAAACTCAAGGACCTATAATTCACGGGATGCTTGTTTTGTAGCTCACTTGATATATTTTATTGATTTTGAAAGCAATAAAAGAAAAACCTTTGTAGAGCCATTGAGATAATTATTTCATCATAAATGTAGATGAAATTGGTAGATAATATGGTAACCTGAAATTAAGTATCATTATCACATTTATGTGAAGAGTAGTTTCCAAATGTTTTAAGCATTGACATACTTTAAGTTTTTTCTATATCAAAACCACTTTCAAGGGATTGTAAGCTATTGGTAAATTTCACTCTTGGAGTATATAGTTCAGAAATAAATTTGGGGAGACAAAAATGTTCAATTATTATGTTTTTTCTCATGCTCCCCACTTCTCCAACTATTTTTATTATAAATCAGAAGAGAAGGGTACCACATAAAGCCTTGAACTCCAACTTGTTTTAAAGATAGTTCTTCTATGTTCTGGGCAGGCCTCACACATCTGAGGCTAGCCTTGAACTCTTGATTAACCTGTCTCAGTCTCCTAACCTTGTAAATGCTGGGATTGTAGGTGTGGGTTACACTGCTCAGTGCAACTCTTCATCACACTTAGTAACTGCTCCTGGTGCTCCTCTCAGGATACTTTTCCATGTCTCTTTCTTCCCATCCCACCCTCTGGTTGACATTGAAAGTTTGAGTACCCCAAAGCCATTGTTCTCCCATCTGTATTCTTTTATAGACATGAAGGCCTGTGATTCAAAGAACAAGCTATACTCCAATATATTCTCAAATTATATTCTGGCCTTCACCTTTCCCCCGAAATCCATATTTATAACCAATTGCCATCTTCACCGCCTAACACCACTTCAAGTCTAGCAAATGAAAAGTAGAATCATTTATTGCCAATTCTGTCCCATAAATATTGTTACTCAGAACAAGAGA